ATAATATTTGTATTATCATAGGGTGCAGATCCAACATCATAAATTTTGAAATTTGCAAAGGAAAGAAACTTTGAAGAGAATTTAGCTATTATCTCGTTGGGATAAGGCTAAGGAAAGATTGCAACTAAATAAATTAATGATGCCACTTAATCAGGAGGTTGGGTTTTATTATAAAATTGTCATCTTGCAAGAACATTTATGCCAGACTTAGAAAAATTAGTAGATGAAATTACAGCCAAAAAATCAACCATTAATCCTAGTTATAGATTGTTCCTCACTTCTATGCCTGCTTCCTATTTCCCAGTAAGTATATTATAAAATGGAATCAAATTAACAACAGAACCACCTCGAGGTTTGAAGGCTAATCTTAAGAGATCTCTATAAGATATTTCTAATGAATTTTTGGATACAGCAGCAAAACCAGAGATATATCATAAATTGGTTATGGGATTATGTTATTTCCATGCCATTATTTAAGAACGTAAGAAATTTGGTCCTTTGGGATGGAATATCAAATATGAATTTAATGATAGTGATCTTGAAACTTCAAAGACAGTTATTAAAATGCTTTTAGGTGAAAATGATACTGTACCTTGGGATGCTATGTTATATGTGAGTGGTAATATCAATTATGGTGGTAGAGTAACTGATGATTGGGATAGAAGATGTTTAATGACTATTTTGAGGAAATTTATATGTAATGAAGTATTGGATGATAATTATGTTTTTTGTGAAAATAATACATACAGAATACCTGAGAAAAGTGTAGTTGAAGATTATATTAAATATGTTGAATCTTTACCTATGACTGATGATCCTGCAGTTTTTGGTATGCATGAAAATGCCAATATCACATTCTAATAAAGAGAAAGTGACTCAATTTTAGAAACTATCCTATCTATATAACCAAGGGAAGGTGGTGGATCATCAGAAAAAACACCTGATTAAATTGTATTAGAGCTTGTTAAAAGTATTTAAGATGATCTCCCTCCTCTTTTAAGTAAAGAAGAATCTAATAAAGAATTATGGTAAATTAATCCAGAGAAAAATCTTATTCCATCATTATCTACAGTTCTATTATAAGAATTAGAACGTTTTAACATTTTACTTTCAACTATGGCTAGAACATTATAAGGATTGGCTTAAGCTATTGAAGGTATAGTTGTAATGAGTTAAGAATTGGATAGTATGTATTATTCACTTATGAATAATGAAGTTCCAAAAGTTTGGAATAAAGTGGGATATTTATCATTAAAAGGTTTGGCATCTTGGATTAGAGACTTAAAAGAAAGAGTGAAATTTATGTCAGAATGGCTTATTACAGGTGGGCCTAATAGTTTTTGGATATCAGGATTCTTTTATCCTTAAGGATTTTTAACTGGTGTTCTATAAACTCATGCTCGTAAGACAGCTATAGCTATTGATAATCTTGTCTTTTCATTTAAGGTATAAGAATTTGAAAAAGAATAATGCTCAATCAAACCAGTGGATGGTGTTTTTATTTATGGGTTATTTTTGGAAGGAGCATAATGGAAGAAAAAATGTCTGGCCGATCTTAATTTTGTAATATTTCATCATTAATATATAGGGTCAAATGAGTGTGCTTATGCCAGTGATTCATTTCTTACCTTTACAATAGGACAAATATTAATAGAGATCTGATAATTATAGGTATTATTTATGATTAAAACATTAGTTGTCCTGTTTATAAAACATAAACAAGAGCTGGTGTCTTATCCACTACAGGATAAAGTACAAATTATGTTTTAGCTGTGGTAATTATTTATATATATATATAATTTTAGGATTTACCTACATTGGATTAACCTCCTGATTATTGGACATTAAGAGGAACAGCACTTATTTGTGCACTAAAAGAATGATTGATAATTGAATAAGATAACTTTAGGTTTATTTATTATTAAAATAACTCGAACAATAAGTAAAATCAAAATTTTATCAAAGTGGCAAGATAGCCTTATTTTCTTACTTCTTCTAAGATTTTTCGTTTGCCTTCTTTTCTTAAACTATAACTCTCTTTCCTAATTACCATTGACCCTTCTCATGAGAATTATTTGGATATATTATTATTCCCTATCCATGCATCAATCCCTTCTTCCACATACCTTTATAAATCTTTCCATCTGGATAATAGTATTCTCCATATCCATCTCTTACATTATTCACATAATTTCCTATATATTTCTTTCCTCCTGGCCATATAAATNGGTTATGGGATTATGTTATTTCCATGCCATTATTTAAGAACGTAAGAAATTTGGTCCTTTGGGATGGAATATCAAATATGAATTTAATGATAGTGATCTTGAAACTTCAAAGACAGTTATTAAAATGCTTTTAGGTGAAAATGATACTGTACCTTGGGATGCTATGTTATATGTGAGTGGTAATATCAATTATGGTGGTAGAGTAACTGATGATTGGGATAGAAGATGTTTAATGACTATTTTGAGGAAATTTATATGTAATGAAGTATTGGATGATAATTATGTTTTTTGTGAAAATAATACATACAGAATACCTGAGAAAAGTGTAGTTGAAGATTATATTAAATATGTTGAATCTTTACCTATGACTGATGATCCTGCAGTTTTTGGCATGCATGAAAATGCCAATATCACATTCTAATTAAGAGAAAGTGATTCAATTTTAGAAACTATCTTATCTATATAACCAAGAGAAGGTGGAGGATCTTCAGAAAAAACACCTGATTAAATTGTATTAGAGCTTGTTAAAAGTATTTAAGATGATCTCCCTCCTCTTTTAAGTAAAGAAGAATCTAATAAAGAATTATGGTAAATTAATCCAGAGAAAAATCTTATTCCATCATTATCTACAGTTCTATTATAAGAATTAGAACGTTTTAACATTTTACTTTCAACTATGGCTAGAACATTATAAGGATTGGCTTAAGCTATTGAAGGTATAGTGGTAATGAGTTAAGAATTGGATAGTATGTATTATTCACTTATGAATAATGAAGTTCCAAAAGTTTGGAATAAAGTGGGATATTTATCATTAAAAGGTTTGGCATCTTGGATTAGAGACTTAAAAGAAAGAGTGAAATTTATGTCAGAATGGCTTATTACAGGTGGGCCTAATAGTTTTTGGATATCAGGATTCTTTTATCCTTAAGGATTTTTAACTGGTGTTCTATAAACTCATGCTCGTAAGACAGCTATAGCTATTGATAATCTTGTCTTTTCATTTAAGGTATAAGAATTTGAAAAAGAATAATGCTCAATCAAACCAGTGGATGGTGTTTTTATTTATGGGTTATTTTTGGAAGGAGCATAATGGAAGAAAAAATGTCTGGCCGATCTTAATTTTGTAATATTTCATCATTAATATATAGGGTCAAATGAGTGTGCTTATGCCAGTGATTCATTTCTTACCTTTACAATAGGACAAATATTAATAGAGATCTGATAATTATAGGTATTATTTATGATTAAAACATTAGTTGTCCTGTTTATAAAACATAAACAAGAGCTGGTGTCTTATCCACTACAGGATAAAGTACAAATTATGTTTTAGCTGTGGTAATTATTTATATATATATATAATTTTAGGATTTACCTACATTGGATTAACCTCCTGATTATTGGACATTAAGAGGAACAGCACTTATTTGTGCACTAAAAGAATGATTGATAATTGAATAAGATAACTTTAGGTTTATTTATTATTAAAATAACTCGAACAATAAGTAAAATCAAAATTTTATCAAAGTGGCAAGATAGCCTTATTTTCTTACTTCTTCTAAGATTTTTCGTTTGCCTTCTTTTCTTAAACTATAACTCTCTTTCCTAATTACCATTGACCCTTCTCATGAGAATTATTTGGATATATTATTATTCCCTATCCATGCATCAATCCCTTCTTCCACATACCTTTATAAATCTTTCCATCTGGATAATAGTATTCTCCATATCCATCTCTTACATTATTCACATAATTTCCTATATATTTCTTTCCTCCTGGCCATATAAATGTACCATGACCATGCATCATTCCATTACACCACTTCCCTTCAAATTTTCTACCATCCTACCAAATTACTTTCCCTTCCTCTATAGCCTTACCCTTTATCCATTATCCTTCAAATACAAATTATTCTTTATTATTAAATAATTTCCCCTAACCATTTCGTTAATTATTTTGAAATTGACCAATAAAAACTGATCCATCAGGCATCTACTCTTTTCCAATACCATTTTTATGACCATTTTCCCATTCCCCTTCATATACTATTTATTCATTATTAAGATGAAAACCATCACCATTAAATAATCCATTTCTGAATTCTCCAATATATATATTCCCATCCTTACAAATCATTCTTCCATCACCATGATAAACATCATTTAACCAATATCCTTCATAAATAAAATCATCACAAATCAAAAATCCAAAACCATTTCTTTTTTATTAAAACCATTCTCCATAATAAATCTAATTGTCTTCTATTTCAAATGGTTTAAAGTGAAAATTTGTTACTTTATATGGTCCCAACTTGTTCCAAAATCCAGCAATAATACGATTTTTGATCATAATTTAAGAACCAAGATATAACTTAGCTTAAGTATTGGATGGATGATGACTAGATGTTTAACATTCCAAATCATCCAAAATAGCTACGATTATTGGATCATGTTCTTCTATTTTTAACAATCTCTCATTTCTCAATTTGTTTCTACATCCATTAACATCCATTAATTGATCATCATGAATATCTAAATTTGCATCTAGAGATGACCCTATCCCTTATTCTTTTACCTAACTTTGAGCATTATTGTTAAAAACTGTTGACTGATCTTATTGAGCGAAATTTTGATTCTCAAAATCTCCTTTATAGAAAGTTATTTAGAGTTATTGAGGTTGTTCATCTTCTAATTTAGGAACTTCAATCCTTTATTATTCTTTATTCACTTAAAATTTCATTTTGGTCTTCTAAGTCTTTGAATTAGATTTCTCAATTGATTGAATTTAACCTTATTTTTTCTCTTAGCTTTAACTTATTTAAGGTGCATCATTTGAATCTATAGTTATCTTTGTAAATCATACTTGTCTCTTTTGAATTTTTAGATCCCATCTATGTTGGAGTAAATTTATTAAAATATGTTTCTAATAAATACAATTTAATTATTCTGGTAATAATATTCAGTTTTTTTATTTCATAATATCTTATTACCATTTTAATTTATGAATCTAAGTATAGAATTGGCATTAATTGTTTCTATCATTTATACTAATGATAAAATTGTTTATCACTTTTATTGTTGATATGGACAACCTTTCCTATTGTTTATCAATTAAATATATAAACTTTAATAATTAATAAAGTGCAGTTATGGATCAATGTTTAGGTAAGAAATAATTATTATAAATAATTGTTAATTAATTGGCCTCACTGAAGATATTATGATTTAGTGATTATTATTTAAATTAAGATAACACTCTAATAATTTCGATAAACTCATCAATCGCTTAGATGGAAACATAAGAAAAAATTCAAATAAAGATATCTTTAGTTGATTAATCAACATCATCAAAGCTAAATGAATGGGAATTTATAGAGACAGATTTAAATGAATAGAGTATTTTACAAGACCAGGATAATTAATTAACTATTTTACAACAATACAAATTTGTAATAGGAATTTCTAAACCACTTGAAACAAGAATTGGTTTGAATTCAATATAAAAAAATAAAATAACAATCAAAGGTCGCTTAGGGATAAAGACTTTGCTATCTTGATATCTATAAAATATATTTCTAATTGAATTAATCTATAATTGAATTTTTGTACATATATTTAATCCTTTGCTTATAGAAGATAAAAGGAGAAAAATGTGAAACTTGTATAATATTATAATCAAAAAAATAGACTTTTATTATCATGAATTCTTAATAATACAAACAGACTTTTTTTTAAATGATCTAGGTTTTGTGATCACATGGATTATAAATATTAAGAATTTTCTTTCTAAAATCACAATTTTAAAATATTAAGAATATACTAAAAAAATGGTACAAATATTTAATATTTCTTCAATTATCATTTGTTTTTGAAAATGTTTGAGAAGCATTCTATTTTTCTATTCATTATTATTAATTCAAATAAAAAGATAATAGTATTTAAATAATTTTAATTATGAAATATATTTTTTAATAATTAATAATTAAGATTATTGAAAATCAATAATAGAATTCAGAAAATAGTAAAATTGACAAAATTTATGAATGAACTTTATTTAGATGATATAAATACAAAATTTCATTAAATCATAAATTAATTTAATTTTTTCTATTTAGTATTCTAAAAATTTTTCAACATCCTACTGATTTTACTATAATATTTCTAAATTTATATATAGAAATTGATTCATTTACTTTTAATTTTTGGGATTTTATGAAGAAATTAAACTAAATATATTAATATACTAATTATGTATAATTAACTTATGAAATTTATTATTTATATTTATTTAATAAGGTTTAAATAAAAATATTTATTAAAATATATAATTCAAGGTTTGACCATGTTTTTCTTCCATCCACTTAGAACAATATATAGCAAATTCAATATTATAATACCTAAGCATCCTAAACCTACTAGGTACAGATATACTAATATCTAATTTGTCATTATAATATCCCATCCACCAAAGAGCCAGAAAATAAATGCAAGGGATATCATTTAAAAAAAATTAAATGCTTTCTAAATATATGAATAACTAAATAAAATGTAAATCATACGTTGATTTGTGGACTAGAATATTTAGAATTCCAGGTTATGCATCGCAATCTAAATCTGACATTCCAAAGCTTTCTTCTTTGAATGTGATAACAAAGAATGTTTTCAATTAGAAATAGATTATAGATAAAAATTATCCAATCATATCTTGATCTTCAGAGAATAAATAAAATTATATAAGGCCACATAGGGAGAATAACCCAAAGTATTCTAATTAAATGTTAAATTCTGACAATTATATATACACTGACTCAACTAAGAGAAGTTTTACATACAATTCACAAATAAGTTAAATACTCCATCTGATACTTAAGAAGGAACTTCCAGCAAAAAAGTTTAAATGCATGAATCCATTAACTATTGATAATAAATTAAGACCTGCAATAACTAAATAGGGTATTTAAATATTTTCTAAGTCTTGCATTTAAAGATAGAAAAACACTATCATTAAAGGGAAATTGAAGAATAATGCATCAAGCATTCTACATAATGTCATCATATGTTCAATTGTACTATCTTTTTTATTTTATACATAAATGTAATAGATCCAATAACAAATATCTAAATTAGTTATAATAAAGAATGTTATTTTAAACAATCTCCATCCATTCTCAAATGAACTATCCAAATAAGGTAATTCATCAAGCCATTCTTCGTTCAGAAAATAGATTAGCAAACCTTTCGAAATTTGAACTAATAGAAATAAACCCTAATTTTATTTAAATTAAAAATACCCCCAAAATTTCAACATGATATAGATCTTAATCTTAAATAATCAATTTAAGTGAAAAAAGTAATGCTGTTGAAAATACAGAATAGTAGACTAAAAGTAAATATGTGGGAGTGAAGTATTTTTAAATAAATCTATCTAATTTTGCAATGCATCCATCATTATTTTCTTCTGTTTTTNATTTAATAAGGTTTAAATAAAAATATTTATTAAAATATATAATTCAAGGTTTGACCATGTTTTTCTTCCATCCACTTAGAACAATATATAGCAAATTCAATATTATAATACCTAAGCATCCTAAACCTACTAGGTACAGATATACTAATATCTAATTTGTCATTATAATATCCCATCCACCAAAGAGCCAGAAAATAAATGCAAGGGATATCATTTAAAAAAAATTAAATGCTTTCTAAATATATGAATAACTAAATAAAATGTAAATCATACGTTGATTTGTGGACTAGAATATTTAGAATTCCAGGTTATGCATCGCAATCTAAATCTGACATTCCAAAGCTTTCTTCTTTGAATGTGATAACAAAGAATGTTTTCAATTAGAAATAGATTATAGATAAAAATTATCCAATCATATCTTGATCTTCAGAGAATAAATAAAATTATATAAGGCCACATAGGGAGAATAACCCAAAGTATTCTAATTAAATGTTAAATTCTGACAATTATATATACACTGACTCAACTAAGAGAAGTTTTACATACAATTCACAAATAAGTTAAATACTCCATCTGATACTTAAGAAGGAACTTCCAGCAAAAAAGTTTAAATGCATGAATCCATTAACTATTGATAATAAATTAAGACCTGCAATAACTAAATAGGGTATTTAAATATTTTCTAAGTCTTGCATTTAAAGATAGAAAAACACTATCATTAAAGGGAAATTGAAGAATAATGCATCAAGCATTCTACATAATGTCATCATATGTTCAATTGTACTATCTTTTTTATTTTATACATAAATGTAATAGATCCAATAACAAATATCTAAATTAGTTATAATAAAGAATGTTATTTTAAACAATCTCCATCCATTCTCAAATGAACTATCCAAATAAGGTAATTCATCAAGCCATTCTTCGTTCAGAAAATAGATTAGCAAACCTTTCGAAATTTGAACTAATAGAAATAAACCCTAATTTTATTTAAATTAAAAATACCCCCAAAATTTCAACATGATATAGATCTTAATCTTAAATAATCAATTTAAGTGAAAAAAGTAATGCTGTTGAAAATACAGAATAGTAGACTAAAAGTAAATATGTGGGAGTGAAGTATTTTTAAATAAATCTATCTAATTTTGCAATGCATCCATCATTATTTTCTTCTGTTTTTTCATCAGCTTGTCTCCTACAAGAGCATCCTTTAATTCTATTGAAAAACCCTTCTTCAGCATCAGGAGCAAGTTAAATGGGTTATTTTTCAGATTCTAATGGTTTTAGATCATTAGATTAGGGTTCTTGCACTTGATTATAGTTTTAATCATAATTATTAACTTATTCATCTTGTTTTTATTCAATAGGAGATTTTTATTAATGATTATCCTATTTAAATAGTTTTCTTGATTACATTTTAATCTTAGTCATCTGCTTCAAATTGAATTACTTGATTATCATCATCTGCCATTGTTAACTGATTAAATATTAAAATAATATAACTGTATATATATAGGAAGATATAAAATATAAATTTATTTGATATTAAATCCTTTTCAAAATGACTATCTTGTCATATGAAATCCTCCTAACTTTGATTGTCTTTATCCTTTATTACCTATATTATAGGAAATTTAAATTCTTTGAAATCGTTGAGAAATTAGAACAACATAATATAAGAAATAAATTGCCTAGAGGGAAATGTCCACCCTCTTATCCAAATGGTTGGTATCGTTTATGTAGATCTGGAGAATTGAAATCAGGGTATATATTTATAATAAATAAATAGTGAAGTGAAAGAAATAAAATTATGTGGTAGACACATAGCATATTATAGAGGAACTGATAAAACTGTTTATGCAGTAGCTGCTTATTGTCCACATATGGGTGCTAATTTAGGAATTGGAGGTTAAGTAAAATTCAGATCCTGTATTGAGTAATTATTTTAGATCATAATTAGATGTCCATTTCATGGATGGGCTTTTGATGGTAAAAGTGGTCTATGTGTTAATTCTGATAAATTAGATCCTAAAATAGTTTCAACTTATTGTTATCCTGATATTGAGAGAGTGACCAAAAATTAGAAAGGAGAGTATCTATAGAAAATATCTGATGGAGAAGTTAAAATTAAAACTTATCTTGTTAAAGAACTTAAAGGAATTGTATATATTTGGCTACATTCAAATGAATCAAAACCGTATATATTTATTATTAATATATATAGATGGTACGATTTAGTGACTGAATAAAGTGAACATCTTACATTGAGAGCTGAAAGTGTAAATTATGTAAATTGTCACATTTAAGAAATACCAGAAAATGGTGCTGATATGAAACATTTTGATTATATACATTATTCAGCTATGGATATCATTCCAGCATGGTTATTATAATTAAGATGGGAAATGAGAACTAAAAATGCTAAAGATACAGATTTCTTAGAAAAAATGACTCATCCAGTTGAAAAATGTAGAACTTATTAAAAAACATTATTTGATCAATATCTTGTTAACAAAGAACTTATACCATATTTGAATGTTCTTTTATTAGATGGATATGTAATATTGTTTAATAAGTATAAATTTCATGCAGTTTGGGCAACTGGATTTTAAATGGGTCCAGCAACAGTTGCTTTATATGTAAAGAGTGCCATCTTTGAGGTATTATTTAAGTAGGCAATTTAACCTGTTGAAAAATTCACATAAAAAGTCTATCATACTGTATTTACTAATAATTATTTACCTTATTGGTTATCAGCCTACCTTCTTCATGCTGAATTAAGATAAGTAATCTTTGATGTTAAATTATGGAATGCTAAGATATTTTCAGAAACTTTAAGATATAATATGAAAACATATGCTGATCAAGCATTATTAAATTGGAGATAATGGTATTCCCAATTTTATGAAGGTTCTGCTGAATTTGAAAAGAGTTTAGATTAATTGGAATGGTGATTTGTATAATTATAATAATATTATATAAATTTGTTGATTATTCATATTTATCAAATAAAACTAATAATTATTAGTATTCCTAAAGATAGTAAATATTCAAAGGCATCTTCTATTTCAACTATATTAGAAACATCATACATCAAACTAAAGTCTCTAAATCCCCATGATTCTAATTATATAACAATATTATACCATTATCAGAATTTTCATCTAAATTTGATCTTATCCTTAAAAGAGTATTTTATTTCTCATGTCTAATAATTAAATCTAAATAAATTAATTTATCAGGATAATCAGTTCCACATAAATTACCTTCATTATATTAATATTAAGATGAATCCCAAATCATTTCATCATCAATTTCAATAATTATAATTTCTCCATCCCATGAATCTATTTTGTATAAAGTAATTTATAATCTTAATTAACTATGATGAGGTATAAAGAATTATTTTTCAGCTATCCCTCCTACTCCCAATACTCCATAACCTCCAAAAATTGTCTTATCTTAACAATCAGTGATAATAGTGCTCTATTAACTCTACTTTAGAATCCATCCTTCAGAACTTGTAAACTTATCATAATGAAAGTTGCTTTGTAACAAATAAAAATATGGTAAAGGATTGCATCCCTACATACTCTAAAATAGATTATTAGAACATCCTAAATAAATATAAATATAAATACTTATGCAATCATTACTTGATGGTCCTCTACACATATCACATTAATCAGGACAGGAAGCATAGAATATTTACAGATCTCTTAAACCAAAAGATTCATCATCTGAACCTTAATCTAAAGTAGATAAAAAGTCTATCTTAACTTAATCACCTGTATGATCTACTGTTATATCTACTCTTCTAAAAAGTGTATGATATTTAGGTTCTGAATTACCACATACCTTAATCTAATATCCATTATCAAGATTAAAACTTTGATTCCAAACTTAAATTCCATCAAATAGTATTAATCCATATTCATTATCCCAAGAGTCAATCTTAGCCCATAAAACCAATAATCTTAATTTATAATGTGGTTATAATTTAATTATCTTGCTCAACCCCTAATTTTATCCAAACTTTTAATATCCTCCTATTAATGGTACTCCTATAATTATATTATAATTATATACCTCCACATTTTGAGGATCCACTTATTCCATTTATTGATACCCAACCATCTTAACCCATTAAATTTTTATGTGTAGCTGTCCAACTATTTTAAAAACTTTTCCAAATTTAACATTATTCAACAATATCTCCCTAATCACAAACTTAACATGATTATGGACAATGTTAAATTGAAATTTCCAAATTTTTAAATCCCCACTAATTCTAAGTTTTATCAATACTTTATAATCTTATTCCTCTGCATACCCATTTATTACTAATATAATAGATGCTCCAGTATGATTAAATTCAGAAGTAATTGTACTTACATAATAGTCATTTTCACTACATTTTTACTATACATATACAGATTGTATTTCAATGTGATCCAAATATATATTTACTAATCCTCTTTAATGTTAACTTTCTCATAACCAATGCATACTACCTTACAATATCCAAACTTAATTTAATATATGAATGTTTCGGAACAATTAATAATTTGCTCATAATTGTTTAACCCTCAAATCCTCCAAAAACTATTTTAGAATTACAAAATTCTTTTTGTACTTTACCATTTTTAATTGTCCATCCTAAATTTTTATTTTGATTATACCATTATTCCCTTCAAAGCTCTCTTTTACTTCTTCATGTATTTTTAGTAGTTCTGCATTAATTAGTATAAATGCAATCAATATAAATATATTCATATTATTTATTAAATTAAAACATAATGATTATAATATTGTTGAATGTATTTGAATAATTTATTTTTCTTTATTTATAAAATTAATTTACTACTAATCATTTTGGAGATAGTAAGAAACTAAATTTAATTGATAAATAAGATTTATCAACTATTAGTGAAGATTTTTTGTAATAAATAAAATGTAGATAAAAACATATAATACTACTATTATATAAATAATTTTATATTCAATATTACTCTTTTATAAGTTAATATTATCTACTACTATATTATTATAAGTTTATAAAAATAATTTGAATTTGAGATAAACTTATCAATATTAATATAAATTTTAATTATAAATTTTATTTTATATCAATTATTCATAAAGTCTTTTGATAAGAATTTCGGAATTTCATTAGAAAAATTTTAAATTCTTTTTAATTCTAAATTTCCTTTATTTAATGTATAAATTAATACTCTCAACTGTGATACTCCTATTTTTCTTGGTTATAGATAACTTTTATGGAAGCTTAACATACAACATTAGTAATGAAATCACCAAATTTCTCCAAATTTAATTTGAATATGGAAAAGAAACTGGAATTTTCGGTACAAACATAAAATTATATTTTAGAATATACACTTTTAATATTCTCAACTGCAGGGGATGCAGAATGCACTAATATCTTGACAATTTTGATTTGGATAAAAGCATAAAATAAAATTCAGATATTTAAGTTGATTACGATGAATGCAATAGCTGCAGCATTTGGAAACTTAATTAAGATGGTTATGACTCAACCAAGACCTTTTTACTTAGATCCCTAAATAAAATTGGATTTCTGTTATACTGGGTATGGAGATCCAAGTGGCCATTCACTTAGATCATTTGTGTTCTATGCAATACTGATTGAAACTATTGTATTAAAGAAATACAATAATTAAGAGAATACTACACTCTTGGAATCAGAAAAACAGATGCAAGATTGCGAAGAAATCTCAAAGTATATTATAATATTAATAATTAGTTCTGAATTATATAAATAGATTTATTAAAATCAATATATTTCATACTCAAAATACAAGATGTTTATAGCTATTTTTGCATTCTTAATTGGTATTGGAAGATTATATTTTGGAGTTCATTTCTTAAATTAAATCATAATAGGTTGGGTAATAGGTGGATATATAATTTATATATATTATTATTGTGGTTTAGAGAAAATAATCGAGAAAGCTTTCAGAAACTCATTATTACTTAATCCATATAGATACCTAAAAATATTATTGATCTCATTTATAGTATTTACTTTAGCATTTCTGTTGTATTTTGAAAGACATTATGAATAATCTTTGATTGATATAAAATAGTAATGGAAATAGAATATCTTAAAATAACCACATTGTACAAGTGGAGGAGGGTATAATCCTAAAAATAAATTTGAAACTCATGATATTTCTGGATTTTCAATATTATTTTTCCCTTGTTACTTATTAGCCTTCTATTCTAAATAATAAATACTATTAAAAATAGAATCTGATTAAATATTAACTTAAATTGGTTAAAATATTTAATATCTTTTAACATATATATTTGTATATTGGATAAAGAGTTTTGAAAAAAGAACAACAAGTAAATTAGGTGGAACGTCTGAAACAAAGAGATTACTATGCAAAATATTTTTTGCATAATTTCACTATATAGAAATATCCATCTTGTTTTTAATGATAATTCCTCTAGGTTTAAGATTAGTAAAATCATTTTGTAAAAGATAATAATTTAGTCGGATTAGTTAAATTGATCAATAAGAAACTGAAATGGTGTGAATTTTTTTTGATTATATTATTTATTGTACTGATAATTTTAATAGTAATATAAATAATTTTGTAAGATATTCATTTATTTTATATAACATCTAAATGAAATTAATATTCAATTTTTTGCTGCTTCTAAAATATTTATCATTTAATTCTTTTTCTCATCAAAATTAAACTATATTATTAATAATAGATTACTGTAGTCGATTTCTCAATGTTCATAAAAGTTTACAAGAAATATGTTTTTAATATATTCAATTATACTTTTCCAGTTCTATCTCTATTCAATTCATTTATCTTTTTATAGATTAAATCTATAAAAATTGCAAATGTAGTTTCTGCTTCTTTATTAAATTTTAATAATAATAATAATCTATTCAAGCAACTTAACATTTGTTTTACAATCAAACCATTTTCCTTTTTATATAAAACATAATTTTACTATTGAATCAGTAATATTTGATTTTAGAATTGTTTATGCTTGTTCACCCAATTTAATATATAATTATTGTACTAATTCTAATATAGTCAAACTAAACTAAGAATCCTTATTGAATAAAGCATCATTCGATTTAACATTCTCAAAATGATAAGGCAATCTTTCTTAAACTTAAGCACATAAGTATTAAATGCAATTAACATAAATTACAATTGAATAAATTCCTCCATTCTTTGGATTCCATTTCATCTATTCAAGTGCTTTCAATAAACCTTGAAAAATGTTTAAGTAACCTGCAGAAGGATCATCAGGAACAATAATAATAAATGAAATTAAATCCAAGATATATGGCATAATTACTTCATCAATTGGTCTACCATTATAAGTTTCTGGTAATTCAAGAAGATTTTCAATTGTAGTTTTAATTACTGCTTCACTTTGTGATAATAAATTTAATGATAAACCAACTTAAGCCACTTAAAAGTATTTTCTCAATCTTGATATTGGATTATCTATTGTAGGAATAGTTATAAAACAATAAGCTATACAAGCCTAATAAAATGAAATTATTTTCTTTTGATTTTTTCCTTTTGATAATCGTTTACCTCTAAAAATTAAATCTAAAGCTCTATCTATTAAAATTTCAGATAAACCACTAATATTTCCAAATTAACCTCTCATTTCAGCATACAAATTTAATGTTTATTCTAAATCTTTACCAAAATCAATCTTTTATAATAATAAATTTATTATTTTTGCCAAACTTTTTTATTCATCCTTAGTAATTGATTTCTTATTATTCAAATTAGCTGTTAATTTAACAATTGAATGTACAGCCATAGGATCAGTTATTTTTTCTTTCTGATCCCTATTTATAATCATTGAAAGCAAATCATTACAAACTAATTTCTTCATATCTTCTGGGAAAAATTAAATACAAGTAATAAATGTATCAATCTATAGTATTTCTGATATATCTTAAGAGTCTTAAAATATTTTAATTATAAATTAATGTAATTTAATAAAAGTATCTTTACTTTAATTTGTATTTACTTAATCCTTTTCAACCATACTAAATAAATCATTAAATCTTTATAAAATCAAGAAAAAAAATTAATTTTTCTAATATCCTTAAAATGATCTAAAAATCAATTCAATTAATGATGCCAATATCTCTAAAAATAATGGAAATGATTTTATTTATAAAATGTCCTATAAAACATATTCACATATCTCAGAACCAGCAGCTACATTAGTTAATCCTTTAGCTATTTTAGGTAAAAAACAAGCATATAATTAATATTTATTATCTACAGGATAAGCTTACATTATTGAAAATAACTCTAATGCTAATGTACTAATATGAACAGCTTAAAATTATTCAATCATCTTTTTTAAAACAAAATGATTTTATGTACTCTATCTAAAATGTTCAAATATATCTTTAAATTCTCTCTATAATTATATTTAATTAAATATGATACTTCTGTACAATTTTATGAATATTATCTAAATGTTTATATTAAATATGGTTCAAACAATCTTAAATATTAATCTCCCTATATATCTAATTTTCCAAATTTATTTTTTTAATTCATATATATAAAGAAATCTTTTAAAGTTGATATAAGATAATCTTTCTCTCCTGAAAATAATTCTGCTCCTATTCTAAATAAATAAAGTGCAAAATACAAAGCCTAATATTAATAAAATAAATTTAAACATTAATATAATCACCAATTGCTCTAACTTATTTAATAAGTCTAACAAATATTGGTTTTATTTAACTTTAATCAATAAAATAATAAACCTTCAATAAAGTAGCTTCTATATATAATCGAGGTAACAATTCTCTTATTGATCCTATCTTATTTATCCAATTTCTTCCTATTTCTGAAGCTGTTTCAGAGATATTTGATCCAACTACACTTTATAAACTAATTTCAGCTATCTTTTAATCTGTATATTGTGGATAACTTAATTTTAGTAATCTCTCAATTACAAACTTACCAAATGTTTCCAAAATATCAATTATATAAACATATTTTACAGGAGCAAAGAGAGGCTTATCATTATCAATTAATAATTTGCATGATTATATTGCTAATTATAATGATGCTACTTTATCTCCATTAATCCATTACCTCTTTAAATCTCTTCTGATATCTAAAACTTTTTGTATATATGTTTTTTATAAAATCATTTTAGATGTTCCTTACTTTGGAGCCTGTGTCTAATATTCAATTTTACTATCTCCACTATATGCTACTTTAGCTTATCCATCAAATTAATTCATGGTTTGAACATTGGAACCAAATGGCTAGGTTATAAATTTTTCATACATTTGGTACAGGTTGATCTAAATCATATGTTTTAATTTGAAATATGTTTTAAAAGTCTTCCCTTATTTCTTACCAATATATTGAAAATTCTCCTGTTGCTTTTAATTATTTCTCTTCTGCATCAATTTCAAGTTTGCCTTCTTATTATTATTATTATTGTTATGACTTATTGGGTTCAACGCTTTTAGCCTAGGCTTAAGCTTATGCCTATTCTATTTTTTAAGTTGGTTAAGCAAAAGGTCTAGCTAATGGATCTATAGTTTGAGGTCTGCTTAAGGGATTTGTTTAAGCTTTTTAAGTAGTTGCTCTGGATAAAGGATCAACGAAATTTCCTTTTGTTCTTATTTACACATTTGCTTTTCTTCCTCTCTGTATTGTTACTTTTGGTCTGTCTAATCTTAATGGATTGTCTGTAGTTTATTATAATTAAATGGCTCTAGTTTTATAAATAAATTCGTAATCCTTCTCCTTAAAAACTCTATAATAGAGAGATCTAATAAATAAATACATTTGTGACGCCATTCTGTAAGAATTATTATTGAATAAAATATAATAAATATTTCACAATTATTGATAATTCTCAATCTAAAATGTTAAATCTTAGACAGAATTAGGAGCAACTCTCAAAAGCTTTAAGTATTTATCTGCATAATTTTTGATTATATTATTCTAATTAAAAATCAACAAAGTGAAACAAATTTTGGAAATCTATGTAAAAAAATTGATTTTTTATCTATAGAATTAATTTATAGAATGAACCTTATAATTTTGTCTATTTAATTTGTTTCATCCTTCACCTCTTCAATCAAGCCATCATATATGGCTTCTATGATATTGGCCTCTATGAAGTCTGGTTAGGTGAAGACATGATTATTCTTAAGACTATGCATCAAATAGTGTTTCTTATTCAAAACAGAAATATGTATTAATGAACTTAATGTAATTAGTTTTCTTAAAGGTGTTACATCTTATGTTTCTAAACACTTGAAATAACGAATAAGTGAATACAAAATTGACTAACATCTAACTCCATTTGATAATTGAATCATAAGCTTAAGAATTAGGAACTCTATAATTATTCTTATCAGCCTATATATCTAACCCATTTAACCAAAGTAATTTATTTAGAGTACTCTATTTCAATAAATCTATTATAGTTTGATCATTTTTTAATTACTCACCATTCCAAATAGAATTAACATGAATTTAGAAAAGTTTAAAATATCCCTAAATACTATTTCTATTAATTAAAGAAACTAGTTCTTATTGTTTTATAGATTATTAATCCTAGTTTTAATAAGAATTCATACATGCTTCTCAATTACATTAGTGAAAATATCATAAAATGTATCAGAATATGCTTTAATTATATCTTTAATTTTGTGATACTCTAGAGATTTCAAAGACTCTATAGTTCTTCTCAAAAATGAATTATAATGTTTAAATTCTATTTATTATTGTATAAAATCTGGTCGAGAATATTTCATAATAAAGTTTTCAATCACATCTTATATATTTGTATTCCTAATCTATTCATTAAGCTTCTCAACTTCTTAGAATTGATTTTTAGATATTGAAAGTTCAAATAAGAAAATTTTAAGTAATGTATCTTTATGAATTAATAATTTTGTTTATTCAAATTCTTCCATTTAAATCAAATAACTCTCCATTTTTGTCTTGTAAACATCTAATAGTTCATTATAAGCAAGTGTCGATAATGAATATTATTTCTCTAATTTAGAACATTCAATTGATATTTATTAGGTTCTATATTATTTAATAAATATATTAACATACTTGCATATTTACTTGATTTTTTGATCTTCAGAAATATCAATACTATATTAATAAACCATATCTAAAATTCCTTATTATTCTACTTCTCTTGATTTTAATTTATAATCCAATTTTAGAGAAAGAAGCTTTTCCTTATTATCAGCTAATGTCTCTTCCAAAGATTTTATTTCATCTATAATTTTACTAGATATTTAATTTTGCTAATTAAGAGTTTCTTTAATCTGATCTTTAATTTCTGTTCTAATAAACTCAACAAAATTTTCAATTCTTATAATTTTGTTTTTCAATTAATTAGCTAATTACCCCTTCATAATTATGATACTGAATAATTTATATGTTTTATTACTTTGATTTATCAATTTATTATTATAATTTGCTCAAACCTTTTGCATATTATTCTTCAACATTGGCTCGTTCCAACATTATTGATAAATATTCCTCTAATCCCTTTTTACTATCAATGTTTTAATTCATTACTTTTTCTGGTTAACCCTAGAAGAAATATAAAATTTAGGAATACAAGTAAATTTGGATAATAAGAAAGTTTCTCTTTTTGATTCATATTATAATATATATATATATTGATTAATTTAGAGAATGTAAAATTATGGAATAACAAAAATGTTTGAGAATTCAATATTCCTTTTTTAATTCGTAATATTCCTTCTATTATCGTTATTGGTATTTCTTATATCCAGTAAACTCTTTTAAGTCATTCTCTAAATGATCTAATTTACTAAATTTAATACTATAATATTATTGTTTTCTATTATTATGATATTTATTTTGATTATAATTATAGTTATTTCTTTTCTTCTATTACTAAGTTATAAAATATATATTACATATCCATTTTATTAGTATCCATGTATATTGTATTATTTCTATGTATACAATTCTGTTGAATTTGTTTTTTAATTATTTCTTTCTACTGAATTCTCTTTATTTGACTCTGTTTCTCTAGTTATTTACATTTAATTAATTTGAGTCTCTGTTTATTCAGCATATGGTACTTGATTGTTTTCAGGAATTACTTCTGTTGTAATTATTTCAATGGAATTTCTCTTCTCAGTAAATTATGGTTATTATTGGTTTAGATTAATAATGGGTACAAAGGAAAACATTGACTATTGTTCTTACAAAGGAGCATAATTAAATTCAATTTTTTCATTTGATCTAATTTGATTCAATCTTTAATTAACAATGTCTGAAGAAGTGTAATCATATTGTTATTTTTCTTGTTGATGATTTTAATAGAATTTCTATTGTTAATATTAATTTTATTGTTATTAGTTGGAAAATTATTAATCTTCAATTTATCTATCTTCATAGTTTCTTATATTATTCATTCTATATTCTTAAAATTATTATTGTTTTGATTAAACAATGTTAAGAAATTTAGTGAAGTAATCAACTTCCTCCATTTTTGCATTTTGAATTGAATACTTAAATTTATATTAATAAGTTACTGTAACTTTGCATTATTGGATTTTACTAAAGCTTGTTTATGCTTCATCCTCATTATCAAAAATGATAAACAGTTTTATCATATCTTTATTTGCTATGTACTCTGCTTCCTATACTTCACATTCCTTAACAAGATCTATTTCTTGTAAAAATTTCTTAAATTCATCTACTTAATTCTTCTTGATCAAAATTTAGACTTATTTTCTCTCTTTATCAAAGATAGGTCTAATTACATTGAAAGTTTAATCAAAAATCCAGTTGCTATAGTTATATTTGATTAATATCTAAAAAGCATATATTACTAATATATACATTGACAAGTGCATCTATTCCATAAGGATAATCTATTAATTGTCTAAAGCTTTTTTCTTTGGCCAAACACTAAAGCATTATACAACCTGTGTTAGGATCGAATTTGCTTAATAGAAAATTGTTTCTACTTAAGAATTCAAAACTTAAAATGCGTCTCAACTATAATAAAATTATTTAAATACTTATTAGAGAATACTTTCATCAATAGTTTGCTATTACATGATATTTTATTTTGAATTCAAAATAATTAATGAAATTTATTTATACTATTCAATTTATTATAGTAGCAAAAAGATAATATAAAAATTTTAATTTCTAAAATACATATTCTAATTTTAAAGAGATTATTTAAGAACATAATATTATTTTTTTTGGAGATATTGATATAATTTGATAAAATATATATATAAATCAAATCATGTTTTCTACAAGGTTATTTATTCTTTCTTCTCTATAACCCCATTCTCCTTGTTTTGTCAAAGGCTTTTTAATTTTACCACTTTTTAATTATCCTTCTGGATGATTTAATTTTAATGGTCTAATAATTATTTAAATAAAATACACTAAGAATTTAGTAACAAAATCGAAATTCTCTGATGCATTTGCAATTGTATTTACTATATCTTCAACACAAATAATATCCTTTTCACTCATATATTCTTCTATGATTTCATTTGATTTTAATGCAATAATTTCTTTTTCTTTCATTATGTGTCCTCTCTTGACAATTAAATCATTAATAATTTATCTTGTTGGTAATCTAAATAAATTTGGAATCAATACCCATAAGTAAGATAATTTTCAACTAATTTTAACTTCTTCCAAATATCTACAGTAGTCTTCACAAATACAGCTGTATTAACCTTGTTTAATCTGAATTCCTTCAATATTTTTTGTTATTTATTAGAGATATCTTTAACACTAAAATAATCTAGTTAAAATTGTATACCCTCTAATTCTCACCACAAGTAATGTTTTATTAATTGGAATAGATTTTACATCAAGTGTTTCTAAATTCTATTTACGTTCCTATTTAAGTTATATAAAGAGAATACTTTTCTTTTGAAATAAGAATATGCTGTTTATTATTTACGATATTTATCCACAAACTTTTCAGGATGAATAAAATCTTTAGTCTTTTATTTTTTTTTTAGAATTCTCTCCTTTATTTAACGTGCTCTCTCTTCATTAAGACTTGATTGATGCTTTCTCTTTTTCATTATGTCTGTAAGAACATATTTCTTCCTTAAAATGATAATGAAACATAATACTATGCTTGTGGTATATTATCCATCAACGATTAATTTAAATAAATTCAAAATATGAATGAAACTCAAATCAACCCAGAGAATTATTATAGATTAGAATGTGTAATTGGAGAAGGATCTTATGGCTAAGTTTATAAAGGCATATAATTGGATAATGGAAAGGTAGTAGCTATTAAAATAGTACCATCATCAGGAGAGATTGAATCACTCAAAAGAGAAATTCAAATACTTAGAGATTGTAGATGTGATAATATTGTTAAGTATTTTGGATCTTATCATTCAAATGGATAGTTATGGTTAATAATGGAATATTGTTAAGGAGGAAGTGTTATAGAAATGATTAAAGCATTATAAAATCCTTTACCTGAAGAAATCATTGCTACTATTCTATATTAAACATTAAAAGGCATTGATTATATGCATAGTCATAAAAAAATACATAGAGATATTAAATGTGGAAATATTCTAATTGATCATTTGGGCAATATTAAATTAGCTGATTTTGGTGTTTCCACATAATTAGTACATACTATGGCTGACACTGATACAGTTATTGGAAGTCCTTTTTGGATGTCACCAGAGATTCTAGTAAAATCAAGATATAGTAAAAAGACTGATATTTGGTCATTGGGTATAACAGCTATTGAAATGGCAGAAGGTGAACCACCTTATGCACATATACATCCAATTAGAGCAATGTTTGCTATTAAAAATAATCCTCCTAACTCTTTAACTGATTAAAGTAAATGGTCAAGAGAATTCAATTAATTTGTTAAAAGATGCTTAATTTTAGATCCAAAAGAGAGACCTTCCACTAAAGATTTATTATAAGATCCATTCTTTTAGAAATACTGTAGAAGTAGAGAATATATTCAATAATTCATTTAAAAATATAAAAAACAAATTGAATCATATAAAATAAGTAAATAGAAGAAATAGGATGAATAATAATTTTAATTTTCGTAAGAATAAGTTGGAGTACCCTTAGATACTTTAATAGAATGTGAAGAGGAAGAAGATTTAGGAACAATGATTATCAATAATGTTGATGCTTATTAAATGAATGAGACAGGAACTATGCTAGAACATTAATACGAAGATGTAGATAAATATGAAAATGCTATGAATAGAGTGGTATATATTGAATTTATATTTATAAGTCAGAATTTGGATTATAAAGTTTAAATAAGTAAAGAACATCTACATTTGTAGAATCTCCTATGTTAAAAAAGAAACAAATAGAAGATAAAATTAATTAATTAAATGAAGAGATGAATTATGAAATTTAAAAAGTAAAACATAAATATGTGGAATAAATCAATTACCTTTAAAAAGCTTTGAATTAAATAGTGACTAAAAAACATGATAATAATTAGTCTGTAAATGAATAGAAAGGAATTCAATTGACAACAAATTACTGTAAATAAATAGAGTAGAAACATAAAAGTTCAGCACCTAACACTCCTATTTAATTGTAAAAGAAAATAAGATTAGATCAAGAAAACTAAAATTTGGAAAATCAATTGAAATAAACTAAATTATAATAAACCAATCTATAGTATAATAATATTTTAAATTAGAAAATTGTAATTATAAATTCAGAATAGATTAAATGATATTCCAAAATTAGATAATAGTTAAAAGCTAATAAAACAATTAATTAACAGAAAAAATTGATTTTGATTCATAAAATTTTTTGTTTATTTTTTATTATTTATATAGATGATGTTTATCATAAATATTAATAATAATTGAGTACAAATTATTGATATTGTATGTAAATTATTATTTTGGTCACAAATTAATTTTAATAACTAAAATGCCTAGAAAAACAAAAGCTCGTTCTCGATTAGATAAATATTACAATCTTGCTAAAGATCAAGGATATAGATCAAGAGCAGCATTTAAATTGTTCTAATTAAATCGCAAATACAATTTTCTTAATAATGCAAGAACAGTAGTAGATTTATGTGCAGCTCCAGGAGGGTGGATGTAAGTCTGCGCTCAAATAATGCCTACAAGTTCAACCATTATTGGTTTGGATTTAGTTCACATTAAACCTATTCCAGGATGTAAAGCATTCACCTAAGACATTACAACCCCATAATGTGTATAATTACTTAAAAAGGAAATACCTTAAAAAGCAGATGTTATCTTACATGATGGTGCTCCTAATGTTGGAGCTAGTTGGGCTAAGGATGCTTATAATTAAAATGATCTTGTCTTGTCTTCCTTAAGATTGGCATCATAATTTTTAAAGAAGGGAGGAGTATTTGTGACAAAAGTATTTAGATCAACAGATTATAATTCATTAATGTGGGTTTTTAACAAATTTTTTACAAAAGTAGAGGCAACTAAACCTTTAGCAAGTAGATTTGTGTCAGCTGAAATTTTTGTTGTTTGTTTAGATTATTTAGCACCAGAATATATAGATGAGAAATTATTTGATTCTAAATATGTATTCAAAGATACTGAAACAGATATGTTATAGTAATAAATTTAGAAAGAAATTGTCTCTGTTGACAAAATTCTTTAAAAAAGAACTTAGAGACATAGAAGTGGATATGCTGATGATGTTCATTAAACTGTTTATTAAATGATAGATTTTGAAGAGTTTCTTCATGCTGATAATCCATATCCAATATTTATTGAATATGCTGGAATCAAAATGACTGAGGAAGCTAAAGAAAAATATTTGGGTCTTACTAAACCTCCATAAGATTATCAAATATTGATGGAAGATATCAAAGTATTGGGAAAGAGAGAAATTATATAATTATTAAAATGGAGAAGTAAAATCAAGCATTTTTTATCGAAATAAAAGAGAGAATAAAAATAACTACAATAATAAGAGGAACAATAAAGTGCTGAATATGAAGATCTTGATGAAGCTGAAGGAGATAAAGAAGTAAATGAAGAAGAAGAAGTAGAGGAATAAGATGATCTTGAAAAATTGGTAGATAAATAGAAAGAAGCTTTGGAATAATAATATATTGAAGAACAAAAGAAAGAATTAAAAGAATAAAGAAAATAAAAATAAAAATAAGCTTAATAAGAAAAGAAATTAGCTGGAAGAGGAATAGGATTCACTCCTTAAGAAGAAGATTAAGAATTATTTTAATTTTCTAAACATAAGAATTTACTTAAATTAGGTTATGTAGATGTAGAAGATAAATAAGAAGATAAATTAAAGAAAGAGAAATTAGCATTTAATAATTAAAAATAATTAGATCAAAATTTAGAATTAATTTATGAAAATAAAAAATAAAAAAAAGAAAATGCTTTAGAAAGAATTAGAAATAAAAAGTAAGCCTTAGAATCTGAATAAGAAGAAGTTGATGATGAGGATCTTGCTTGTAAACCAATTAAAAAAGT